GAGTGAACTTGTACACGCTGCACTGCAGCAGCTGCAGCACTTTTACCCCCCAACTATCACAGGCTAGATATACGCAGCAACACACCATGACGGCAGCAGATGGTGTAGAAACGCCAGCAGCAGCAGCAGCAGCAGCTGCTGCTGCTGCAGCAAAGCCCGCCGCGTCTGCTGCTGAGTCAGCGACACCCTCAACAGAAGCAGCAGCAGCAGCAGCAGCAGCAGCACCAAAGCCCGTAGCGAACGTCAGCAAAAGCGGCAGCAGCAGCAGCAGCAGCAGCAGCAGCAGCCCGAGCAGCAGCAGCAAAGGACCGGACAGCAGCAGCGGAGGCAGTAACAGCGGCAGCATCAACAAAGGCGGTAACAGCAGCAGCAGCAGCAGCGGCAGCAGCAGCAGCCCCAGCAGCAGCAGCAAAGGACCGGGCAGCAGCAGCGGCAGCAGCAGCAGCAGCAGCCCCAGCAGCAGCAGCAAAGGCCCGGGCAGCAGCAGCGGAGGCAACAACAGCGGCAGCAAAGGCACATACAGCGGCACTGCTGGCAGCAGCAGCAACACCACCCCCAGCACCGAGAGCAGCAGCAGCAGCAGCAGCAGCAGCAGCTCCGCAGGTAGCACCAGCAGCACCAAGATCACAGACAGCAGCAGCAGCAGCAGCAGCAGCAGGCCGGGTGAAGCAGCCCGTGTACAGGGGCCCCCCAAACGCGAACCCCTAAACGCCCTGGGGGGGCCCCCCAAGCGGCTGCAGACAGAAATTCGTGCTGCTTCTGTTCGTCCTGATTACAGCAGCAGCAGCAGCAGCAGCAACAGCAGCAGCAGCAGCAGCAGCAGCAGCAGAGATGGGTATAGAGAGAGACACGGTGATACGGGTCAGAGGTATGGAGGCAACAGAGACAGAGACGGCCCTAGATATAGAGATATAGGCAGCAGCAGCAGCAGCAGCAGCAGCAGCAGCAGCAGCAGGGATTATGGTGGGTGGAACAACAGAGGCCACCCGGAAAGTATGAGATACAGCAGCAGCAACAGCAGCAACAGCAGCAGCAACAACAGCAGCAGCAGCAGCAACAGCAGCAGCAGCAGGAGCGATGCTGCACCCAAACCTAAGCCGCCGACCGAGGCATCTACCACTCCTTCCTCTGGCAGCAGCAGCAGCAGCAGCAGCAGCAACAGCAGCAGCAGTAACAGCGGCAACACGAAGAGCAGCATCAGCAATAACAGCAGCAACAACAGCAGCAGCAGCAGCGGCAGCAGCAACAGCAGCAGCAGCAACAGCAGCAGCAGCTCCACTGCTGCTGACAAGAATGCCGCTGGTGCGAAAACTGTTGGCAGCAAAGGCGCCTACAGCAGCAGCAGCAGCAGCAGCAGCAACAGCATCGGCAGCAGCAACACCGGCAGCAGCAGCAGCAGCAGCAGCAGCAGCAGCAGCAGCAGCAGCAGCAAGCCGGGTAAGCTGTCATCTTTTTTGCTGCTGGCAGACCAGCAGCAGCAGCGAGAGGTTTACTCTCTTGAGGAGATAGAGAGAAAGAGAAGAGAAGCAGAAGAACCAAAGAGAGTGAGACACAAACAAAGCTGCTGCTGCTGCTGCTGCTGCTGTTGCTGCTGCTGCTGCTGTTGCTGCTGCTGCTGCTGCTGCTGTCTTCTCTGTACCTACTCAGGAAGAGAAGCGTTGCCGTTGCACTTCTTGCTGCTGCTGCTATTGCTGCTGCTGCTGCTGTTGCTGCTGCTGCTATTGCTGCTGCTGCCACTGCTGCTGCTGCTGCTGCTTCTGCCTCCCTCTTCTCTCTAAAGGGCTGGTGCTAGCCAAACCCTAAACCCTAAACCCTAAACCCTAAACCCTCGTTGTTGAGTGTATGCTGAGCCGCAGCTGCGGGGGTAAGCCTTTGAGCGTATAGAAATTTGTTTTGCTGCTGCTGCTGCTGTTGCTGCTGCTGCTGCTGCTGCTGCTGCTGCTGCTGCTGCTGCGAGCAGATAGCGTTTGTGTCTAAGAAGGAGAGAGAGGCGCGGCAGCTGCGGCAGCAGCAAGAAGAAGCAGAACTAGCAAAAAAAAAAGAAAGAGAAATGTTAAACAAACGGAGACTCTTTCTACAGAGAGAAGTAAACACAAACTGCTGCTGCTGCTGCTGCTGCTGCTGCTGCTGCTGCTGCTGCTGTTGCTGCTGCTGCTGCTGCTCGTTGCTGTTTTCTTATTTGCTGCTGCTGCTGCTCGCTGCTGTCGTCTTAGTTGCTGCTGCTGCTGCTGCTGCTTGTTACTGCTGTATTAGTTGCTGCTGCTGCTGCCGGTGCTGGTCGCTGTTGTGTTACCTTCTGCTGCTGCTGCTGGTACTGCTTGTTGCTGCTGTCTTAGCTGCTGCTGTTGCTGCTGCTGCTGCTGCTGCTGCTGCTGCTGCTGCGTGCTGCAGGAGTTGGAGCGGGAAAAGGAACGGCGGGAGAGACAAAAGAAGAGAGAGATGGAGAGAATCAAAGAGGAACAAGAAAGTCAGCAAAACACTCTGCTGCTGTTGCTGCTGC